TGAATGGGAGTTCTCTTTTATCGGCAAAAGTATGTAATTCTACTATATTTCGATTGGTGGATCGTCTACCTGATTCAGGTTGTTCATCGGGTTGGTACTCTTCTTCTGGGAATGTTTCATAGCAATCATACGAGGGTTCTTCAAAATATTGGTTTTGTTGTTCAATATTGAAAAGTTCCTCTGACGTAAATGTGGGTCTTGATTGGGGTTTGCACGTTTGAGATCGTCTGGTTTGTGTTGGTTGGAACGTATTTCTTGTAGTGATACTCATCGGCGTTGGCTGTGGCTGAGAGGTTCCTTGATTGTTTCGGTTAGTCCATACATTTTGGGATCTGTTTTCCTGTCTGCCAAAAACTTGTTGATTGGTGAAAAAACGCTGTGTTGGAAGATTCGGTCTGGGTGTGATGGCTATCGAACCTCGCGGAAATTGGTGTTGGGACGATTGCGGGCTTTGCCACCCTTGTTCACGCCCTGTATATTGTACGGAAAGCATCAAATTGTATTGTGGCCTAGAAAATCTTTGCATTTGCATCTGCATTGGTTTTCTGTTAGGCATGTTCGGTGATGGGCCTCTTCTTGTATAAACTGTAAAGCGATTGCCAAATTTCCTGGTCTCATTGCCCGTATAGTTGAACCTGAAGGTTCCTTTAAGCCTGCCAAAAACGTTTTCAAAGTTTGTTGGCGGAAGAAATCCTTCTCACTATTTTCAACTACGGGGTTGTCATCATGGACTTTAATGTATTCACTTATAGTATTCAAAATTCCCATACATTTTTCGTGGAATTGGAATGCGGTCTCGTTCTGTTGTTGTCGTCTCATGTCAACAAGATCTCGAGTCAGGCTGTTTTCATCACGTTGATCAGAAAAGTTCTAAATTAACGTATGTTCAATGTCGTTCAATTAATCACATCCGTAAATAGAAACGACTTCTGTTGCTCGCCCTGTTAGTTTGCTTACGATTCCAGTTAGCAGGAGAATATTTTGTAGGCAACCGGCATTTGCAGGTGTTGGATCGTAATAATGATTTAGAAGTGTCGACGCTACTTTGATGAAACTATACAGTTCATTAGGATTTACATCGAAAGTTGGCAAAATGCACAAATTTATGACGTCGAACACTGGTCTCGACATGATTTCAGGTGGAGTTATAATAATATTCGGATTTTCGAGTGGAGTGATACTCGAATTATCGACAGAAGTGATATTCAAATTTGAGAGTGATAAAATTGAACCTAGCTCTGCACAAGGGTCACTTAAATAAATAGAAACAAAGGAGTCTGACATGAAAACTTACAGAACGATGATGATGGCAAGTTGCATTCCGTCGTCTGCTTTCTTCCTTTCTTGGGGTTGGTCCTTGGTGGTGAGCTGCGATGCTGCCTCCTTTGGACGTGGTTCTTTTTGCGGATACGAGAATAAACGTTTGAAAACGAAGAGGATCTTTCTCACAGACTCTTTCGCGTATCCTACCTACTGCGCCAGTTAAATATATATTTCGGAAAAAATCGTTTTTAAAAAGATTCATTTTATTACCGAAGCACGAATTACAATATGAGTTGAAGTTGATGGATCGAGATATAAAGTCAGACTAAATTGTACATGGTGATGGGAAATGAGCTAAACTCCGTGACGCCACACTCACTCACTCTTTGACATCACTGGAACACCGTAGAAAGGTCGGCGACCTTTCACTTTTTTATCGATACTTCCACGGGAAATGTTCTTCGGAAATCTCTGCTATCATCCCTTCACTAGCAATACCAATCAGACGAACTAGACAAGCCCAGTCAGCACATCCTTTCGTTGTCAACCTCGAAAGATGTCGAACAGCACTTTATCAAGACTCCTTCATCCATAGAACGGCTAGGCTCTGGAATTCATTGCCTGTGGAAGTATTCCCAACAACATATAATCTCCAAAAGTTCAAAAAAAATTCCAATACCTACCTCCTGTCCCTATCCTCCCTAGGAACGCACGATGTTCTTTGAACATTATAGGGATTCCCTTTCGTGCGCTTCAAGCGATAAAAAAAAAAAAAAAAAAACTGGCATTCTCACGGCGGTCTCCTATCTCGCTGACTCGGTGGATTCTTCAAGATGTAAAAAAGACAAAAGAGGTAATCATGGATTAACACATTAGTTACTAATGATAATAACAACAATGACGACAATAATAATTATGACAACAATAACAATAATAATGATAATATCAACAACAACAATGACAATAATAATAGTGACAGCAGTAATAATAATTATGATAGTAAAAATAATAAGGGGATTTAGAGACCAATCGAACACAAAGACATGCAATGCAGAACAAATGATACCCGAAAAGTCCCGACGCAACACGCAACCAGAAAATGATAATAATAAAAAAATTTCGGCATAACAATAATAATGTTGATAATAATTATAAAAATATGAATAAAAATAACAATGTTAATAATGATAACAATGAATGAGAATTTATTAGGGGATAGACTAAATATTCATATAAATGGAAATCAAGTTGGGATAGCAGAATTGTACAATCAATTATGGACCTACCTGGACAAAATATAATTCTTCAATCTCTTCTTGAAGTTACTCAGAGTGTGAGATCTAAACTATCTAGGAAGCTCATTATAACATGTGCTTGCATTGTACGAAAAACTACGTTTGAATGTTGAAGTGTTATTGTTATGTATTGGAATGACAAGGGTAGAGTTGTTACGGCTTGATATTTGGTTAATGAATGAAAAGGTTTTCAGTCGTTTCGATAAATAATCTGATTTTCCAGTTTTCAAGACTTTATGCACTTGCATCAGGAGATGTGAATGTCTCAATTGTTCTAGTCGTAACCAACCAGAGGATTTCATCTTGGCAGAGATGTGATCATATAGATTTAAGCCTGGTTGAGTGGAAGACCATCACCTTGCTATCAGCAAGAGATGAACTTCGCCATTTCAGTATGTATTTCTATTGTACTGAATAAAGTTTATTATTATATTATTATTATTATATTATATTGACGCACCCCATAAGAAAATCGCAAACATGAATTTTGTATCCGTTGTAATCGATGAGAATCAGTTTGTAATAATAACAAATTGTAAAAATTCCGTTACTGCCTTATTTTTCAAAACAAAATATAACTGACAGATATCCTCCTGAGCCCTAATGAGGCAGAAATAAAGACCCTCACAAGGGGGCATTGAAGGCGATGAAATTCGCCTATGCAAAGCATTGACGAATCTAAAAAATAACGTAAGCATTAGTATTGAAAAATAACGTGAGCATTATAAACCGTTTAGTTTCATTTCATCAATGAATTTTATTTATTATATTGTATTTTTATTTAGTTTTAATCCATCTTTCTAATTGTTTCTAAACCACATGTCAGCAGTCAGAAAATAGGTTTGACAAAGAAAAATATTCTCAAGTTATTCAAGACACTTTCAAAAGAATCAGATACAGGCTGTTCCATTCGTCCTGCTAACATGAAAATCCTAGAAACTTCAACAAATCAAAGTTGGATAATTATGAAAACAAGAAAATTCTGATGGATATATTCAGTATAATAAGGAAAGAATTTTTTGTAGTACAGGCTAGTTCTCATTATATCATTTTGTGACTTCCACTAACCCACCTTTTTAAAATACTGAGTCGAATAGGGACCTGCTGTATTTTCCCATATATTCTGTAATTTTCACTTTGCTTCATTCTGGTAAATGATATGTCAGATGATAGGGTGTAAAGACATATGATTAATTATCAGCTAGTTTTTCTCGATTATTTACTGTTCCTGTTGCTGAAAAATCATCTTTAAACTTTATTATTCCTCCTTGAAGCTTCATTATTTCTTCTTGAAGTGTCAATGAACTGATGAAGAGAAGTACAGGTTTGTATTTTTGGAAAGGTAAATTGATGATCCACTCAAAAAAGGATATAACGATAATTTGGTAATTGGTAAATATTTTTGATTGATTTTATATTATCTACAATAAAGTGGGGATCGATGGTTCCTACTTTTGATATATAATCTTACTGTTGTCATCTTCACTTTCAAGTCACCCAATTATATTTCTGCATCAGAATTTTTTTTCAGTCCGGCAATGAACTGAAGCAGTCACCTCCAACGAAAAAAACAAAACTATTAGATTCACGACCAGTAATTCCTCAAAACCATCTGGCCAAATTTCGAAATTCCTGAATATAATAGAGCAGATGATGATGAAAATAAAGAAAATTTACATGAATTGAATATCAAAGAATCCATCAACAAATGAATCCCATTGGTTTTAATTGAAGACTTATCCAATGCTTTTTCTGTTGCCCCACTGGTCTTCAATCCATCCCAAGTAATTTCAGAATCAGATAGTGCAACCTCTCTATCAAGTCTCAACCACGTTATCAATAGAAACTAACGAATCACCTGCTTGTTCGTCCCAAACAGTTCGTTTGGAATATAGGGATTTGAAAGATTTTGGTGTGATTTGTTTTCTGCAGCGAGACCTTCTTGGCCAAGCTTTACTGAACAAAGCACATTCTGGATAGCTGACCAATTTAGATTAGATTAGATTTAGAATGGGGCCTTCGGGCTATCTGCCTCCACACCGCGACCTTTTCAGATCTATTGTGTCTGCCCTCAAAATCGATTAGAGTTCTTCGGCTAGCCCCGTCTTCTCTATGAGACTCCATAGGCTAGCTTTCAGATCCCCTGTGTATCTCTGGGCTTCTGGTTTTTCCTCACCCAGCGTAAGGAACCTTAGTCTTGACAAGCCCTCACAGTGGCAAAGTATGTGTACTGCTGTTTCCTCCTCTTCCTGACAGAACCTGCACAGCAGTTCTTCAGTCAGACCTATCGTACTCATGTGTTTGTTGAGCCTACAATGCCCTGTGAGAAGTCCCACTAGACTAGCTGACCAATACCGGAAGGGATGTATTGGCTGAATTAGTAGTTATACATTTCATCAATGAATATGGACACATGAACAACGAACATATGGCGCATCAGCCATGAGCGGAAAGGTCAAAGGTGCTCAGGCTGTTGTGCAGAAACGTTGTCCGAAGGCAGTATATGTACACTGCGCGTCACAAAGCCTCAACTTAGCCATGGCAAATGCTGCAGAGGTCAGATCTATCAGAAATTGTTTTGGCACTACTGGTATTTTTTGAACACATCAAAGAGGCAAAATTTTCCCCAAGGAAAAATTGAAACCCTAGCACCAAATTCAAAGAAACAACTACTGAAACAGCTATGATCAACCAGATGGGTTCTAAGGTATTATGCTGTCCTCGTCATGAAGGAGCTGTGCAACCATATCATTTCATCCTTAGAAGAAATCAAGTGTTGGGATGATAAGGACACATCTTCAGGGGCCGATTTCCTTTTGACAGCTATATGTCAGTCAGAGTATATTGTAGCTCTAGTATCAGCTGAGAAGCAACTCAGCTGCATTTTGATATTGTGTCAAAAGCTATAGTCAAGTGATTCGGGTCTGTGGGCTGCTTTGAACTATGCTGACTATGTACTTTAGAGTCTGAAGTCACTAAGAGAAAAAGTCGATGAAGGGTTTTCGTCTTGTTTCAAGAGGCACAAAAATGGCCGAAATGGATGAAACTACAATTAGTGTTCCAAGGATTGTTGGGAGGCAGACACGCAGAAGCAATGCCGAAGGTACAGAACAGAATTTATGTGATCAACCCCTGTATTGGAAGTTTCATTTCCTGCATCGAACAACGTCTTTTAAAGCACAAGAACAATTTGAAAGGGTTTCACTGCTGTACTTCATACTGATCCAGAAAATAGTGAAGATAGTAAAGAGATGGAAGAGGCGTTTTTGAGGTTGATTGACGTTTATGAAAAAGATTTGGGAAACAAAAACTTGAGCGTGTTGATTGCAGAAATGGAAGTTTGGCAAGCTTTTTTCCAACGAAACAAGGCACACCATATCGATGCAATTGATTATCTAAATATTTGTGATGAAACAACCTTTCCGAACATCCATATTCTATTCAAGATTTTCATCACTATACCTGTATCGACCAGCACAGCAGAGCGCTCTTATTCTGCTCTTCGGAGAATCAAGACATACCTAAGAAACACGATGTCTGAAAGAAAGCTAAATGGATTAGCCAATCTCAATATTCACAGCAAAATTCCAGTTGACCCAGACAGGATTTTATTATTCGTTCCTATGTTCCCTGCTCAAAACTTGCATTCAAAGAGCTAAAAAAAATTTGAAGTCATGCCTTAAAATACCGACTATTCTATTTTCTGAGTGCGCCACTGAATACAAGCATGGGTTATAATATTTCAGATGCAATTCGCATCAGTTCAGTTTCAGAACATTGTGATACCAAAAAGTTCCTTGATTGATCTAGATTGTGATGACGCCGAGGATGCCTCAATTTTATCAAGTTGATAGACCGTGTGATATGAAACAAAGTTCTTCATCGTTCTCCTTCGTGATGACGCCTGGAATGCCTCAATTTTATCACGGTGATAGTTACTACTGGTACTGGTGGAAGACGTTTGCACGTCAGCAATTAGTCCCTAATGGGACCTTTTTGCAAACCCCAAGTGTTTTCAATGACCGATGTGGTTCGCTCAAGAGAGCTGGCTAGCATCCTTTTCAGGCACCGCCCATCAGCTCTCTTTCAGAGTGTTTCGGCTATGTTTTGTAGGCTAGTAATGTACTCACTACCATATGCGCAGTGGCAGGCCTGCTAGCTATCCTCGTTAACCCCCGTTAGAGACTGGGGTCCACTAAACAGCTGGCCCGCTCTCACGATCAGCTGGTAGTTTTCCTCATCCACCTACATACACCGTCCTACTTTTTTTCTGATGCTCACAACCACATCATCATCTCTTTCTTCGTGTTCTGTGTAGGCTTTGTTACTAACTCCATGCGTCACTTTAGGAGCAGCACTGTTAATTGGAACGCAACAGCGAATCGTGCAGGACTATCCCCAGCCGATGCTCCGAAACTTTACAATATTCAATTTGTAAATAGAATATTGAAAAAAAGCTCGTGCTGGGAATCGAACCCACGACCCTGCGGCCGTGAGACGGCCGCTCTTCCACTGCGCCAATCCCGGCACGGTGATAGTTTGTATGATGAAACATTTTTTTCAAATTGATTTCCTTTATGATGATGCTTGGGATGCATCAATTCCATCACATTGATCGAACGTGTGATGAAACAAAGTTATTTAATTGATCTCCTTTGTGATGATGCCTGGGATGCATCAATTTTATTACATAGGAAGAAGTTGTGATGAAACGAAGTTATTTAATTCATCTCCTTTGTGATTGTTATGAAGTTTGTGTTCTATGAATTTGCAATATGTATTCATGTTCCATGGTAGCAGAGACATTGGTCGGATCATTACACACTGCAATGTCGACAGTGTGAAGATGTTGTGAAAATGTCGTCTCAAACTGAATAAAATTGAGAGTGATAAATAAGTCAGTGGTTTATTGAAAGTAGATATACAGCATATATTTTGCGACGAAAAAATAAGTCCGTATCTAAGTCAAAAGTCCGTATTGTTCAGTCAGTAAAAGCAGAGCGTCCAAAACCATTCTTGTCTTCACTATGGCCATGTCATTGTTTGGTTGTATCGAAAACCTGAAACCAGGACCGACCGATATAAAATCATGCCTTGAAAGAATGGTTTTGTTCAAATTAATAACAATAAAGCAGATGGTGAGAAGGTAGCGGTATTTTTGACTTCAATTGGTTCAGATGCTTATGCAACTCTCAAGGATCTAGTCTCACCGGACCTTCCTGATGGTAAAACATATGATGAACCCAAAGATATTTTGAATAGATACTTCAGTCCTGCTGAGATAGTCATTGCAGAGAGATTAAGATTCCATCAATGTAGTCAGAAATCTGAAGAGCCACTCAAAGATTCCATAGACAAACTCAAGAATTTATCAAAGCCTTGTGAATTTGGAACATTCTTAGAGGAAGCTTCTAGCAATCGATTCGTCTGTGGAGTTTTATCTAGCAGAATTAAGTCAAAGTTGCTGTAATAAATATAATTGGATTTTACTGAAGCTTCCAGCATAGCAGAAATGGAACTAACTGATGTAGAAAGTAAAATAATCCAGCCAGATTCTAATTTCAATATAATTTTGAGGATCAAGAATCAGAGGCCTGCACATTCAGCAAGTAGTAAACAAAGTGTAAGTAACCAAAAATCTGCATAACAAACTCTCAATAATCCTGTCAAAGAAAGGAAAGACAAATGTTACAGATTTGGCAGATCACACAGTCACACATATTGTCCTGTAGTAAACTGGGAATGTTTCGTTTGTAGAAGGATCACACCTCTCGTTTGTGTAGAAGTGAAGGAGTGAACTTGGTTGAAATTGAAGATGTTGAAGAGGCAGATTTCGAAGAATACTTTAGAATCTTAATCAAGTGATGGAGTTTGAAAGCACCAATCACGAAGTTCATGGGTTGAGTTAAGTCAGTACAACAATTCAAATCAGCACAACAAGTCGAGTCAGTTCAACAAGTCAAGTCAGTACAACACGGCAAGTCAGTACAACAAGTCAAATCGGTTCAACAAGTCAAGTCAGCACAATGAGTCAAGTCAGTCCAAGTCATATCAGCCCAGTCTACCAAGTCAGTCAAGGTCAAGGCAAGATGTAATTGATGAAGCTACTGATGGTCAGTTCCAGCTTAGCTCATTGTCAGATTCTCATTGAAAATATCAGAGTTAATATGGATACTGATACTGGAGCCTCCGTTAGTTTAATGTGAAAATATGATCATTACAAAGATTTTTCTCATATTCCATCGAAAAGTTTCAAGTTGAAACTCAAAACTGTGTCAGGAGAGTTAGCCGCATTGATTGGCTTGATATATCATTACCTGATTGGGAAGAATCCTGAAAATATACCTCGCTCGAAAATAACCCAACTTACTAACTAAGTTCCTCTGAATTGAAATTAGCTTTTGCGAATTCGTTTTCTCAAGACATGTGACAGCCAAATAAAGGATTCAATGCTCAGTTAGTTGTGTAAGAGAGTGTTCTATACTAGGGGTTGAAATGAATATGAAATCGTTACATGGCTTATAACATACTGGTGTATCGAACTTATTCTACAATATTGGAATTTCAACACTGCCAGAATAGCTAAATAGTCGTATTCAATAAAGTCAATGTACCTGTACATCATACAACTTACTGAGTTCAATAACATGAATTTATCGCATACATAACAGAAAGCATTGATGGTGTTTCATGCAGCATACTCCATTCCATATAACATAAAAGAGAACGTAGAGAAAGACCTCAAAATGATGATCTCTGATGGTATTTTAGTAGCTGTAGCACATGCAGATATGACAAGTCCCATTGTATCTTTCCCAAAAAATAAGAGGAATTCGTGTGATAGTAAATGTTAAGTAAACATTCAATCCTGGATTGCGCACTGATTATTATTCTTTACTCGCCCTTAATGAGGTGTTTCAGAATATACAAGGTGGTACTGTACTCACCATTTTAGATTCATCAAATGCTCACCTCCAGCTCCCAGTAGATAATGAATTTTAGGAGCTTCTGACAATTAATACTCATTCAGTTATCAAGAAGTATACTAGAATTCCATATGGTGTATCAGCAGCCTCTGTAGATTTTCTAAGCACTATAAAAAAGTACTGAAGGGTTTGAAAGTTGGTTTCTATTTAGATGATCACTTCTGGCGAGAACTTTCAAGAATGTCTTGAAAGTGTCAAATCTTTCCTAAATTGAATGATTGAATGTAATATCGAAATAGACGGAACAAAAGTTCAGTTTTGTCAATATGAAGTGAAACTTTCAGGATACTCAATTTCCAAAGGAGGCTCAAGACCTCTGAAGTCAAAAATTGAAGCCATTTCTGAATCCTCAAAACCAGAGAGCATCACACAACTGAAATCATTCCTAGGAATGTTGAATTTGCACTCAAAATGTATTCCAATGTTATCCACTGAATTTCCGCTCCATCAATTATTATTGAAAAGAGATCAATTTCTCATTTGGAGCAGAGAATGCCATGATGCTTTAATCGAAAGTAACCAACTACTCAGTACTAGTAACATCAAAATAGTCATAACAGCTGACAGTTGTGCATATAGTGTTGGAGCTGTAATGAGCCAGGTTATCAACAATGAACTGAAACTTGTTATGTTCGCATCATGCACTTCAAACCAAACCGAGAAAAACTATGCTCAGTTACACAAAGAAGCTTTGGCTGCCATATTCACGGTAAAGAGATTTCATGAATTTATTTATGGTCAGAAGTTCACTCTTTTCACTGATTATTTACCTCTTGAAATTATATTTGGTGATAAGAACGGAATTCTTACTATGGCTCATGCACCACTACAGAGATATAGGCTATCATACTTTTTACCTCTCACTACTTATATTGACTTTTTAGTTTGTTTATGTTATTTGTGTTGTATATATTACTTGACTGACTTTTAGAATATGTTACATGGTGATTATTTACATTTATACGTTATTTATATTTACTTTTAGACTTTTGACATTTTCTTTGTTCATTGTGCATTGATTTTTTTTTCAACTGTACTTTTCAACCAAAGAAATAAATATTATTATTATTATTATTATCACTCGGGAGATAAGTGAATGATGCATTTTTGTTCTAGGACTCCTTTTCGTTGAACGTCTGTATTTTGAAAACACCTAATTTGACAGGCCAATCAGAGTCAAGTTCGATGTTATCGATAATCCGAACTTGACTTGAGCTTTTGATTGATTCATTTGATAACTGCGTGAAATAGTCAGTGGTAGTAGATGATAGGATTTCAGTTGGTGATGTCATGGTCTTTTCACTTCGAGGGTCACTATTGATAAAATGCTAAAAAAATTATTATCCGTGAAAAACTGTGTTATGTACTGTCATTATTGTGGTTTGCAATAAGTTGGCAACATGACTTTGGCAACCGTGGTCAGTTGTCAGTTGTCAGCAGTCAAGTCATAAAATGAAAGTCGTGTACATGTCGTACATTAATAAAGTCTTATTATAAAACTGTATTAAAGTGTTAACATGTCTCTTGTTATAATCATAATTGGATTAAACACTTATACTCCAGTCTGAGTATTCTTTCAATACATTACATTGGCGACGAGAAGTTGGAACACACGCGCCTGTAGTGTTCCATTTTGGAGGTTAAATTCACGACTTTAGAGGGAAACGTTACCTCTAGTGGGTCATATTGAACCATTCAACAAAGAAGCAAGTGACTTCGTTAGTTGGCTCGAACGTCTAGAGTCACTATTTGAGTGCAATGATGTACCCGAAGATCGTCATTTATCTTTGATGTCCAAAGTAAGTTATTTCAGGTCCAGGCAGATGAGGAACAATGTGCTCTATTTAGCAAATCTCATAAGTCTCCGGGATCTAGTAGAGTGAATCAGAATGGAGCCAGCAGAACTGATGTCACTTCATCAAGATTCAGACACAAGTGCTTCAGATGTGGTCGTGCTCATGACCCTTCTACATGCCCAGCTGTGGAGTGGGAATGTTTTGGTTGTGGTAAGAGAGGACACACTTCAACAGTTTGTAAGTCCAACAAAAATTTACACAGATGTACAGCTGGATCCAACATCAATAGATAATTTATGCCTTCAAGATGAGCCTGCAGGAGGAATGTTTGAGGACACTTTGGCACATTTAGACATAGATAATGGAGATTCTGGGGTTATATTGGCACATTTGGCTACCATGTATCATTCAAATGCTCCAAAAAGGTTCAATATAGTAGTAAATAGTCATAATGTAAATATGGAACTTGATACTGGGGCATCAAGAACAGTAATTTCTGAACATCTATATAATGAGTTGTTTTTAAGACAAAACTTGTTCTTGTCAATTTGAATTCGAATGTAGTAACGGGACAGCGTGTTGTAGTAGTTGGAGAAATGCCTGTTGAAGTGTCATTCAAAGGAAAACTATTCAATTTATCATGGTTAGTAATTCGGGCAGTCAAAGATTTTGTACCCTCAATGAGGAGAGACTGGCTTGATAAAATCACTCCAGGGTGGAGAGAATTCATGTTTTTGAATAATTTAAATCAAGATAATCATTTGAATAGGGCATCAGCAATTGACAGTTTGAAATCAAAATATGGAAAAAAAAATTCTGGGAGAACTGATAAACCAATCAGTTCTTTCAAAGTGAGTCTGATATTGAAAGATGATGTAACCCCAATTCTTAAGAAGCCTTATGCAGTACCTTTTGCCTTACAAAGTGTCTTGAAAAATAAACTGGATGAGATGGTTGATGCACAAATACTTATTCCTGTAATGCAAAGTAACTGGGCAAGTCCTATAGTATTCTTTCAATACATTACAAACTGTATATATGATCAATTGATCATGATAACTATCTGGATATAGTATCAAAAAAAAAAATGTATTGCTGAAACATAGTTGCATGTTCATATTTGTTATTCTGCTGCCCTTTACAGTCACTGAATTTCGACATATATGTCAGTTGCACCAGGAAGCTAGATACTGACAGATGAGTCCTGTTATTGGCCTACAACTAAGATAAAGAGAAAAGGGTTATGAAACAGATTACACCTGAAGATGATTGGTCAATACTTCATAAGTCTTGGGAGAATATGGTTATAGTATCAGCACGCAGTTTCATAAATTATCTTGTGGTTGTGATCCTAATTTTCATTTCATTTCAGCTACCTTCAAAGAAGCAAATTCCAATGAGAAAAAAAAATGGCAGAAACAGAAACTGAAAGAGCGATAAAGAAAAACGAAAAATATATCGATGGTGCATGCTCATCTCCTCCTCAACTTCTTGATGGCAATTTTCTGATAAATTTTTTAATTTATTCTTCTACTGATCCTCGATGTCTTTATCTGAATTGGTGTCTTGTGATCATTGATAAATAAGTTTTTTTTATAAAAAAAAAAAAGAAATTTCATGAAACATTGTAGTTCTTTGTCTGAAAATTGATAAGTTTGGGGGGGTTGTGAACTATCATTTTCATAATGCCCCTAGTTCTGGAAATAACTATAAGTTTGGGTTTTCAGATGATGCATCTTTGTCAGCAGATGCAGAGTCGGAATCAGAGATCAGTGATCCGCCGGACCAGATAACTGATCTCTGCTCTGGTCTGAAGCTCATCAGTGACGCAGTGATCAGTATATCAAAAGGGCATGTTTTCCAAGATCCTGAGGATCTCCCAGCTAAAGCAGAAGTGGTTGAGAATTACGCCATTGAGGTTGTGAACGAGAATATATGAAATATATGAAACATAGCAGTATCAGATATAGTAGTGCTAGTGATGGGTAGGTAGGTAGGAGTTCCATATTTACATTGTATACAGGTTGCCCTGAAATTACATAGAAAAACCGGATGCTGCACAATAACGAAACTATTTCAGTTGGATTCTCCATGTTTCCATCACTAACCCTACAAATTTTCAGATTCATACTTTCTTTAGTGCTTCTTGTATAGATCACGTTGACTCATAAAAATATCAAACGTTCCAGAATCTGGTTTTAGGTGAAAATATTTCTTTCTATCTATAAAGGCGTGTTCCAACTTCGTTTTCGAAATACAGGATGTGGAAATTTTATAAAAAATTACGTTTTTAGAAAAAAAAATGTTTTTATTTATTTCTGGAAAATCTTCCGTCTAATTCTGAAAGCGACCCGGAATTCAATTATGATACTATTTTCTCAACTTGTTTGGGACCATTTTCAAGAAATTGACTAGGCAACGATTTATTATGCACATTCGATCTTCAAAGGCTCGTAAACTGGGATAGGCAGAAAATTGGGGGCATCCTGGAGAAGTTATTGAACCTCCAGACTTCACTTGATTTTTCACAGATTTCACAACACTAATAAATATTATGTTGGGAGTTCAAGATACTATGAGAATTGTTGACCTAGGGCTTAGTAAGGAAAAATTGAACACAAACCCACCTTCTTCAGATGAACAATGTGTCTTACCAAACCTGCCAATCCATGATGTGGCTGGTCTGAGAATATGATGGAGGTAATTTTGAAAGAAGTTGAAGCTCAAGAGAAGCTGGTAGGTTGAATTAATATGTCCTTTTTCAGAAGTTGTATTCATTCAGGTCCTTATATTTACTTTTGTTTCAGATACTAAGGTTCATTGGGGACTCAAATGACAAAAACTGTGTCAATTGGTGCCTCCAGGAAGTTTTTAGCAACTACTTGGTCATGTTCTGTAGTTCGACGGGAAAGAAAGGAATATTCTAATTATCGGACCTCACCACTTTGCGAATCATTGAAGGTTTAAAGAATATTTCAATATAATAATTGATACCTATCCTGCATTACACAATGCACATGTCAACAAATTCGATTCCAGTCATTTCCATGATTTTCTGCCTCCTCTTTTTGGTTTATTTCAAATTCGAATAATGATTAATTTTTCAGATGTAGTAAAGGCAAACTTCCCAAAATTTTCAGAAAGAGTTCGAGAAATGTGCCAAGGTTCCAGTTTGCTAAAGTGCGCCATGAAGCATGTGTCCCGTGAGATAATTACTACTTCCACCAGAGAATATTGGGTTGATTCATTACCATGTAGGTTATGGAAGAAAATGTTTCTTTTAATTTGAATTGCAAGCCAATTTTACATGAACATACATTATGTATATATTCATGTTTTTCATGAAAATAAAACGTATCAGTTTTTCTTTCTTTCTTTTTTTTTCAACATCCTGTGGTTATCAAGAATATGCATTTATTTATCAGGTAGGTTCAGGAATATGCTATCCCTTCGGCTCAGAAATGTAAACTTGCTATGTCAGTTTTGACCAATTTTACAAGACTCTAAAAATCACAATGGAATGTCAATACACAAAACATGGAACTTTGGAAATTGTTTTTCAGAATTGATTCATTTTTTTTATTTGACTGCTGACATTTTATTTGTGGTTTTTGAGTATTTCAAAATTGGTCAAATATGTCCTAGCAAGTTCACACTTCAGGCCGATGATATGGAATATTATTGTCATTCACCACTAACATAAAGCTACTACTGGCTGGGTTTTTGGGAAAGAGCAGTTTCATTCGAAAAATAGTGTTGTTTAGACGTGTTGTCTGATTTTTGGGTGATTCTATTTTTATAGTTCGGATGTACTTTGAATGCCTATGAAAATTGCTGGAAATCCACCTTTTTCGCTTATTAGGATTGTTCGCATTTCGAGAAATCTCAACCTAGTTGCCACAAAAACACACAATTTCACATTTCAGCTCTGTAATAGAGTCAAATGTGCAGTTGATTATGATGTCGTTCGTGATAGTTCGAAAATATTCCCACTGGTTTTCATCACTGCTATTCCTAATCCACAAATTCACCGCTTTTTCAATAGATGCGCATTCCTCAGCTAAATGCGTGTTTTTTACTTGAATCGGAGATCTTGATTTAGAGCGATCTCTAACTGATGATCTCACGGTTTCTGCTCTGGACTCGTCTCTGGATGAGCTTGTGGACGATGTAGATCGAGAAGAGCGAGTTCCTTGAATCCGTATCTTCTTTGATGATTTTTTTCTCGTAGTATATTTTCAGCAAATTCAGAGTTTTTATGCCTACTCATTATAGTATATTTTTGTGGAACCTTTTTGAATAGTAAGCCATGATAGTCTTCATACTCAGTATCTTTTATTATTTCGGACAAAATCTCACGCGCAAATAATTGGATTTCAGTTATCTCTCTTTCTGTGATTTCTGAAATCATACGCAAAGTATTGTAACCGTATGTTCAACATATTTTTGAGGTCTGAAGGTCTCTGCTTCTAAAATTTCATCTTCATTGATAGTGATGCTATTTGGATCCGAATTTATATCTATTCCCGATTCTATGTTGAAATAATCTGAAAAAATAACGGTGTATACAACGAGTTATACAACGATGCATGAGAAGCATAATAACTCGAAATTTGGTTTCAAGTTGGCTATAACCTCGGCTATAACAGACCATGCGCTTTCTTCATAATATATTTTTAGATCTATACTGCAGGATACAGGGAGCGCCTCGGGGAGTGTCGAAGTGTTGACTATATATCTTCCTCATATCGAATAGATATTTTTTTCCTCCGAGGAATGTCTCCTTCGCTTAGGAGTGATTTGCAAGATTTAGCAATAAACGAAGAAGTTTTTTATCTAGTCCCTAGTTCGAATTCCCGGCAGAGCAAAGAATTTTTATTTATAAAACGACTTATAAATTCTAATTTTCGTAGCCTCGGCCGGAGATGATTCCGTACGATTCACTGTTGCGTTCCAATTAACAGTGCTGCTCCTAAGGTGGCGTATGGAGTTAATAACGAAGCCTACACAGAACACACATAACTGAAGGATAAGATACAAGACCATTATAACGTGGGTAACCAACGTTCGCGAAATGGATACGCGGTAAGAGCTGTGGCGTTGGGCGTGCTAAAGGAGCTACAAACCAGTCAGGTGTGCTGCTGTTAGCTGTGAGTCGATATTGTGTTAGTATAGGTACATTATTGCGTTCATTAACGATGGATGAAGACCCTGCTTTTGAGGTTGAAAGTAAGAGATGAGCTCTTCGACACAGGATGAGAAAAGCAAGATCAAAAGGAGAATCGTACCTTACTCAAAAGAAAACATTAGTGTCTGAAAGACTGCCATCTAAAAATGAGGTTGATTTTTCACATGACTGAAATATTCAAACCATAACTGCAAACTTATGGCCTCCTAATGATTATTGTTTCTTTCAGACAATATGCAAATGCAAGTTTTCATGCCGATATATTGGAAACATGAAAATAAAGCTCCATCAAGAGTTCATTCAACTTGATGGTAACGCTCAAGGGAATTACATATTTGGCCTTGTTGATGTTGATGATTATTTGTACAAATAATCATCAATTCTACCTCACATATTCTGACCACCAATGCCATCTGTCTGTATATCACTGACCCAAAATCAGTTGTGGCCAAATCGTCCATAACAAAAGTAAGTACATCTCAGCGGGGAACTTATCTCTCACTGCGCTATTGCTTTGCTCGGAAGTATTATCTACGAAGAAGGAAGAAATGAGGAGCATCCACGCAAAAGTAAACAAATCCATTTGAACAAATTGTGCATTAAACGATATTTTCGCTGTAGCCACAATTTGGGAAAAATTGGATCAAAAAAATATTAGAAAACTAGCTGACCCGGCAAACGTTGTTTTGCCATAACATCATTTCTAGAAAAAATAATATTACATTACCATTTATCAAAGCACTTTCATTATTTCATTTTTACTTCTTTTCAGTTCGGCTATCCATGAAAACGGGATTCTTTAGTTTTTCAAGATATTGCTGCTTATTCTCTACTTGTTTTCAGTTCGGCACTCTATATCTCTCAATTTTTTCATTTATTCACTACTCACTTCTTTTTAGTTTGGCTGTCTATAAAAACGTGTTTCATTAGTTTTTCAAACTACTATTTATTACAAAAGCTGAAACCTGACACACGTTGTTTTGCTATATACATTTTCTTCTAGAAAATATTTTTTTATGAATATTCATCAACACACTTTTATTATTTTGTTTTGAACTTCTTTTTAGTTTTGATATCCATGAAATCGTGTCTCATTAGTATTTCAAACTACTATTTTCATTATCTACTTCTTTTCAGTTCGACAATCTATCTCGTTTTTCAAACTATACTATCAGTTTTCTACTTCTATTCAGTTTGGCCTCAAGTTTGGCTATCTATAAAAGCGTGTTCCATTATAGTTTTTCGAACTAATATTTATTACAAAGCTCTTTCACCATATTGGATCCGCCATTTCCAATTTTAAAGAATAAAATCATAATCTCCGAATCCGAAAACCCCCAGATACAGGTTTTGAATAGAATCGGATCATAATTATAAAATTCGTCCGCTATATTGGATCCTCCATTTTTAATTTCCTAATTTTGATGGAAGAATCATGATCTCCGACCCGAAAATCACCCAGATACAAATTTTTGATGAAATCGAATCACAGTAACAAAACTCGTCCGCCATATTGGATCCGCCATCTTGAATTTCCAAATTTTGACAAAAGAATCATTATCTCCGACCCCGAAAACCACCCGATACCAGTTTTGAATATAATCTGACCATAATTGCAAAACTCGTCCGCCATATTTGATCCGCCAATTTGAATTCCCCTATTTCGACAATTGCTTCATATCTCCGACCTCTAAAACTTCCAGATACCAATTATGAATAGAATCTGACCATAATTACAAAACTCGTCCGCC